AATAAAATTTTATTAACCATACTTTTTTATATTTACTCTTCAAATGAAAAGAGAATTTAAAAATATAAATTTAATTTGATAGTTTGGAATTTGTTGTGGAGAGATAATGAAAGAAAAAAAAGAGAGAAACACATTCTTTTTTTTTTTCCCAAACATCTATAACTAAAAAAGTAAATTGCAAAAGTTACCTCCATTCACTACTACAAAAAAGTTTTCTACTATCCTAATTTACGTCCCTTTTAAAAATGAGACTTAAAAAAAATCAAAGTCACACAAATAGAGAGAAAAGTAAATTTTGAAAATTCACGTCCCCCATAAACTATGTGAAGTAGATTCTTTAAAATTCACGTTCCCCAAATGGGAAGGAGACATGGATTCTAAACAATTCACGTCCCCCTCCCTCTTAGGGATGTGGATTAAAGAATCCAAGGGGACGTGGATTCTTAATCCACTTTCCCCTTCCCCCTGGGAGATGTGGATTCTCAAATTCACGTCCCCCTTTTAGGAGGGGGACGTATAATAGGTTAAAATTTTAAACTTCGTGCATACTCACTTTTTTAGTTTTCAAAACTAGTGTGTCAGCTTCCTATGCTCTGTCTCTGCCTCCCTCACAACTCCTCTCTTATCTCAGCTCCTCATCTCTTTTCTCTGTCTCTGTCTCCGTCTCCGTCTCAACTCCCTCCCTCATAGTTCCCTCTCTCATCTCAGCTTCCTCCTCATTTCTTTTCTCTGTCTCGCTTTTCTTAGCTCCCTCCTCACTCTCTCTCTCTCTCTCAGCTTTCCCTATCTCTGTCTCTCATCTCTCAGCTCTCCCTGTCTCTGTCTCTTATCTCTCAGCTCCCTCTCTCGCTCTCTATCTCTTATCTCCCAGCTTTCTCATTGCCTCTATCTCTTTCGGCAGCTCTATGGACGAATAAGCCCAGCCACTCACGACTAAGGACCTCTTCTCTTCTCTCTAGGTATTTTGTTTCCTTGTTTGTTTATTTTCTTGAACAGGTCTCCACGCAAAAATGTAATTTTTGTTTGACCTAAGAATGTGATCAATTAATTTTAGTTTTACATGATGTATATGATATTATGATGCTTAAATTTTTTTTGAGCCCATGAAAGTATGTACTCATTATTTTAGATATTTTATAATTATATAATTATAGATGCAATCGTTTTGTTTTTTCATTGCATTTGGTGTATTTTGTTGTGATAGTGTATAAACAGTTGTAAATAAATTGCTATTTATTAGACTTTCACTGTATGAATTGGCTGTTTCTATAACATATTTTGGCAAATTCTATTTTAATTGTATAATAAATGTAAATTATATATAAAAAATTTTAAAAACCACGTCCCCCCATAGGTAGAAAGGGATGCGGTTTGTGAATCTAAATAAGAAACCACGTCCTCCTATATCAAAAGGGATGTGGTTTCTCATCTATGAACTAGGCAATGAGAACCACATCCACCGTGTATAAGGGAGGACGTGGATTTTATAGAAACCACCTCACCTATTATTAAAGGGGATGTGGTTTATGATATCCACGTCATAGGCATTTGTGACGTGGATAAGCCTTATGCTAAGTTGCCCAGTATGATGTTCCCTTTAATTGTGACGTGAAAATGCTTAGAAATGTGATGTGAAAAGTTTTTTTTGTAGTAGTAATTCTTTATATTTCTTTCATCAAATTATCTAGTATCCAAAAAAAATTTAACTATGATACATTCAAATGGTCAAAATCTTATCAACAACACACATCACATGGCTATTAAAAATATGTGTGAAACAATATATTGTGAAATATCATATATGGGTACATATAGGTCAGGCTTAAGCTAGATTGAGTAAACAAGCTTAGCCTTTTTATAGAAATAGACCTAATTATAAATTTAAGTATGATTTTTTTTGTTAAATAGATCATATTAAAATTTAAATAGTACAGATTGTATGTTTCTATAGATCAATTTACTTATTTCAACATAATTAACTTTTTTGTTAAGCAAGCCAATCCTTTCCTGTAGAGACATACTGCCTACCTTGTTTAAATTTTGGTATAGTCTATTTAACAAAATGTTCATGCTTAAATTTATAATTAGGCCTATTTATATAAATAGGCTAAACCTGTTTACTCAAAATCTAATTTAAGCTTGACTTATGTCCAACAATACATGATATTTTAAAATATATTGTTCACATGTATTTTTTAATACCATGTGATGTGTGTGTTGATGAAATTTTAACCATTTGAATGGACTAAATTTAGCCGTTGAGGGATGCTGAGAATTTTGCCGCTAGGAGGATCCATTTCCTACTTGTGTGATGATTATTCTCGAAGTAAGAAATTAACCCTTCTAAATCTATGTCCCATTGTGACTTGCCATTTTTTTTTAAAATTATAGTAACTTGCCAATTATATATCAACCATTTCTTATGTCTTAAACCGCATGAGTTTTATCATTGCTTTGTATTAAAAAAAAACAATATTATCATCCGGATATTGGTTGCTTACGACAATATCATGGTAATTGTTTTTATCAATTTAAATCTTTTTATTACTATAATATTTGATTAATTTTTGGTTAGTAAGATTTTAAGATGTTACAGAAAAGTGGGTGATTAATAGAGAATTCCAATGCAAATTAACAAGAAAGCTTCAGTAGAATAAAAGTATATATTAATTTTGTCAAACTTTTTAACCCAATAGTATACTATATTTTTTAATTTAGGATATACATATGTGGATTTAGAACATATATAGTAGAGGTGAGGCATGGGGTGTGTGTAATTAAGCTAAAATATAATGAATCTCATTGTATTTTACTCATATTTTATCATTATCTAGATAAAATTCAGACATATTTTTCTTAATAAATTTAAACCTGCTGAATCAATTAAATAATTAGAAATTATTTGAAATGATCTTTTTTTTAATTAAAATGAAGAAGGACTTTAGACGTCAAGAGAATACATTCTCTTGTTGTGGTGTGAATGATAATCCAAAAGGGTCTACTTCTCTTGGTGATTCATAAAAGTGGGTATATGAAGACTTCCTTCATAACATAAGGATATGTGGGCGTGCAAGGTCCTTAAATGTATTTGATTCTTCACAATAGAAACACAACCAAGCTTTAGGGAGAAGAATACTTAAATTTAAATTAAAAAAATATTTTTTGTCACACAACTAATTTTTCTGGACTTTATGAGAGGCTCACTTCAGACAAAAATCGTATCAACATAGCTTGACGCATAGTGCACTCTTGATTGTACGAAATCTATTAAAATTGAAGAAAATAAAAAATCACCTCTAATTCTCAAAAAAAATGCCTCTATTTGTTTGTTGTTTTAAACGTCACTTTCTACATAGATTGTAATAAAAACTAGCATGTTGTTTTACAACTTATATAAAATGTTTATTTTCTCAACTAGTTTAACCCATAATGCTACAAAATGTCAATTTTAACTCACATGAAAAATCACTTGATCCAACTGTGATTCTTGGTAGAGATAAACACCTTCTCTGATCTTGTTGACTACATTTTTGTGGCTTGCTTTGTTTTCATTGGGGTCAAAGTGAAAGGGTGGGAGAAGAAACATGATAGTCTATCTCGGCGTGTGAGAAACAAAAGAAAGACCCAAGAGCTCAGGATGCTTGCATTAAGCACTTGAGTCCTCCTTTTATAACAAGTTAAGTATTCTTTTCAGTCTCATTTATAACACAATTTTAAAAAGTTTATTCAATTTTATTTAAAAGTTATGATTTAGCTTTTAAATAATATTTAAAAAATTTTTTAAAATTATTCTTTATAAGAGAAAAAATAATATAACATCACTTTTTGAATTATTATATAAGAATATATTTAAAATTTTTATATATATTTATACCTTTTATTTATTTTTTATAAAATTAATAGAAATGACTTATAAATATGGTAGGATGAATATCCACGCTCTCTTTCTTTTATACTCATTCTTCATTCTCATTCCCATTCTCATACACACGTACATACTTGTTCTTCATATATCTCAATTCCATCACCATGCCCAACACCTGCCATTCCCTCACCGCTTTATTTCTCCCTTTTCTTCTTCTCTCTTCATTACTCTGTCACCGCCAGCGGTGTCGTCTCCAATGCTTTTTCTCCGACGTCACTGCCTGCCTTCTCCGACGTTGTCCACCCCCCAACCTCCCCTCCGACGTCATCATCCCCCCCCCTCCAACCTCCCCTCCGACCTCGTTGCCCCCTCCGACACCGTCCAGCCCCCAACCTCCCTCTCTGAAGTTGTCCCCCCTCCGACGACGACACCCCCCAACCTCCCCCTCGGACGCCGTCCACCGCCCAACCCCCTCGT